TGAAGGCAGAGTTTAGAGGTACAGTAGTTACATTTTCATAGATTTTCTTCAGTTCCTTGAAAACATATAGTGTCTGAGAAATATAGCAATTTTAATTTAAAGAAAGTATATAGGAAGTAATTCTAATGATATAATTGGTAAAAATTGTTTTGACAGAGTATTTGAATATTTTGCAATATCTGACAGTGGATTCATTGTTTGGTAAGAATATTCTTAAAGTATCTTGCCTTGATTTCTAGCATGGCTTTAATATACTCTCAGGTGCTCTACCTCAAAGCATATTTTTAAAAACCCAATTCCATGTTAAGTAACTGTGACAATAGTCATCCCAATTTCAGAAATCATGACCAGTGTTCAAGTTTTACTCAAATAGTATGAAAATCAACATCCACAGTGTGATTCACATGCTTCAGGCAAATTTCATAATCTCTAGAACAAAGTAATTGTTGGCTTTAATATTGAATTCAGTTTTCCTAAGGTATGATTTTTAAAAAGCACTTAAATAGCTGGCTGAAGTCTAATTAATAATATACTTTCTTTTAGAATTGAATTCTGTAATGAATACGTATGCTTATTTATCAATACAACAGAATATATATTTCCTGGATTATAAAATTTCACTATATTCACTTTATACCCTTCTTACTTTCAGAAATTTAAGTTAACTCCTCAAGGAAATAGAGTATTCCTTTTTCCTTCCTGTCTCTGTCCCATAATAACCATAATGATGTTAAATATATTACTAGAAATCCCTCATTTCCAAAGAGATCTTGTTCTAAATGTTTAATTCTAAAGGGATTGGCACTCAAAATACATTTTTGCCAAAGAAGTCATTTTATAGACAATAGTCTGAAGTCCAACAACAAAAGCCAAATTAACACATAATAATTAACATATAATTACTGCCTTGGGAGTAGTAGGGGAAAGAGAAGAACTAGACTGTTTTAGCATATCAATTTTGAAGAAGAGAGCAAGCCATGAAAAGCAGAGATAACCTAAGGGAGAATTATTCAATCAGTTCTTCATTCAGCAGATTGAGCACCTATTATGTGCCACCTTCCTTAGATCCAGGGTGCCTGTCTTCTTGAAATTTAACATTAAAGCAGTATTACAGATATTTCTGGATAGCAATGGGTAAGATTACCTAGAGAAGTGCAGTGAGGATAAAGACCATCACTAAGTTTATTTTCCTTCAGAATATCCTATTTTGTGAACATTTTCTGCAACTTTTTACTTCATTTACTTGTAGTCTTAAATTCCACATTTGAGAGATTAATTTGTATTAGTAATCTTAGGCATGAAAGTATTTTAATAATATTGTAAAACCAGTATCCATTCATTCTGATTTAGTCTGCTTGTTTTTCTTTTGACTTTCAACTGAGATGAGACAAAATATAATGAGGTATTTACCAAGTATGGTAAATTCCAATTTACTCAGTTTGGAAGCCTGAAATTTTTTGAAAGGGAGGAGCATGTGAAAAAGGCTTAGTGGTCTGATTTTAGATGGATGCTAGAGATGAACTATCCTGGAAAATCCTTGATTTAATAAAATAACAGTGAAAAATTCAGTACATTTATATTTCATAAAACAGCTTTGATTAAAAAAAATGGGAAAGAATAGCACTAAATGAGAATACCCAAGACATTTCCAGCAAAGCTCTATGTTTTACATGAATACATAGTGTAACTATGTTATTCAGGTCTTAGTTCAAATGTACTTTTTTAGATAGACCTTCTTTCTTGAAAGCTTCACTCAGTCACTTTTGTAATTTTACCTGGTTCCAATTTTCTTCCATAGGTCTTCTTACTATATGAGTTTAGCTTGATTTGTTTATGTGCTTACTGTCTTCCCCACTAGGAAGAACTTCTTGAGGGCAGAGACATTATGTGCCTTTTCTCTGTTGTATTTCCAGCAACCAGCATCATAACTGGACCATAGTCAGCACTAAATAGATATTTATTGAGTGATTGAACAAATACTGGAGATATAAAAGTGTGTTAAAATTTAAGGTTTAGTGGACAGTACTTAAAATTAGGTAATTTAAAGTAGAATGAGTAGTGTTATGCTGGGGAAATATAGTCAGTACTGAATGCTAATTAAGTAATTATGAATGGAATTAATAGTATTTTGTGCTGGGGAAACACAAATTTCTATTCAGTACACACTTAGTTTTAAGAAAATTAAAAGGGAGGGGGATTCAGGATGGGGAACACATGTAAATCCATGGCTGATTCATGTCAATGTATGGCAAAAACCACTACAATATTGTAAAGTAATTAGCCTCCAACTAATAAAATAAATGAAAAAAAAAAACCAACAAAAAAAGAAAATTAAAACAGTTAAGCAATCTTTAAATGAAACTTTAAAAATTCTTTTCTTATATTTAGAGACAGATATATTTATTAACTTAGGTTGGAGCAATTTGTTATTTAAACACTGAAATGTATTTGAATTCCATAAAGTCTGCATTTAATGGAGGTTAGATGGTCAGTTTGAGAAAGAGCTTATTTAATTCCTTATTCTTTAGAGTTCCCTAGAGAAATTTTCATTTATCTTAGTATATATATTTGTAGTGTAGTAAGTAGATAAGTAGCTAGATAATGAGATGTGAATATTTTAAAAATTGGCACTAGTAAGTTAATTACATCTTGATAAGACTATAAATTTTTGCAATGCTTTAAACTTTCATTTAGGCATATTAACTTGATGAAGTTGTGGTACTGATATTATAAGATCATAATCTCTAAGGAATGGAAGAGGATTTTAGAATCACTCAGCTTCTTGTAACAGAGGGTCATCTCTTAATCATTTCTTTATTCCTAATTTATATTATAGTGCATGGCATTAAGTTTTTATCTAACACATACTTGTTAAAATAATATTTGAGTTAATGTGTATAATCTGTATCTCTCACTTTAAAGTACATGCTCAAAGATTAAATGTCTGTAAAGTTTTGAGTAACTGGTTAATAGTTGAAGTAGGACTGAGAAACCCAGATCCCTTAACTCCAGTGTTCTTTTCATGTTACATTGCTCCCATACTAAAATATTTTTTCTTTATTCATATGTATAAAAATAATGACAAAAAGTAAAATGAATTATGCATAATAGACACATAAATAGGATATTATATAAGTTAATGCTGTATAATTTGAGTGCTCTGTTTTGATTGTATATTTTAAATTGTTGGAGTCTGGTGTTATGTAAATCACAAACCTAAAAGATTTGTGGTTAAGTCCTAAATGTTTTATATGTAAATTTGTAAGTGTGTGTTCTTTTTTTTTTTTAAGTACATATACCTGCTTAACCATAAAGCATTTGAGGGAACAGGCTAGCTCCTTCATTTACTGTAGTACTTTTCCCTTTATGGTTCTAGGTTAGAGTCAGCCCTAGCAATGCACATGTATGAGGTTTGAAAGGTAGATGAGATGATAGAAACCATTATTGCCAAGCAGATTTGCTGGCAGGCAGATGGCCAGATGTGAAAGTTTTAGTGGCTCCTGGATTAAGCTTCTGTTAGTTGACCACCCTAATATGGTAATCAGCTGAGATAATTGGTGGCAAATTCACCAAGACTTTTGGAATTCATCGAAGTTTCCTAAAGGCTGTTTTGAAAACCCTGTCCTTGGCTCTCCAGGCTGAGAGCAACATTAAAGTCTCTGACCTTCATTACTTAGCAGGATCAGCAGTTGTATAGTTTTGATTTCTGTATTGAAACCCTGACTTTCTGGAAAACCTGGAGTGACTTTTGTTTTTATTAACAGACTCTAACTGATTCATTGACAGACTGCATTCCTGATATCGGGGGTTGGTGATAGAAAAGAGATTTTTAGAGAGGATGATAATTTTGTTGTGTTGGGTCATTCCACATGTATCCTTTCTCTGCTCCTTTTTTTGGATCAAAAAATATTGTCTAAGAAATTCTCAACTGAGCTCTCTAATCTTTGTCGTCTTTAACTTCAACTGACCCCACCCTTTCATGTGTCCTGGCGAAATCTCTGTAACAGTTATTCTAAACCTTTTCTGACATCTTCATGATTCCCATTCCATTGTTTCTCATGTCAGGTGATTGCCATTATTTGAGTTTGTGCCAGAGAAGAGAACAGTATGAATATTTTGTTGACAAAGAGTTATTTGTGTGATTGCAAGGTCTACCAGCTTGAATGGCATTAGAGGGGCAGGTTGAAAACTTAATGAACAACTGTTTCTCTGAGGTTGTAAGGACATACTAGATACAGGTCAGCTATGAAGACAGAAGTGTCATGGAGCCAGCCTTAATTTAATGAAGATGGAATAAATGTAGCAAATCTTTCTGATTTCTTTTTGAAATGAATAAATTATCATAGTTGGTATTTATTTACATTGCTTATCTCAAGTTAGGGCAGTAAAGGGTTGGAAATATAATGATAAAATGAAAATTTAGTTGAACCAGTACTAGCATGATCTAGGTAGATAATGAGTGAAAAATGACTTTTAAGAGCCAACATTTTAGTAAAAAAATGTTGACTAAACTATTGAACAAACAACTAGAGATCAATCAGTGTAGCTTCATCATGTTTTCAAGTAACTATGAAATCAAAGTATCAGGAATAGAGAGAAAGAAAGGTGAAATTTTTCTAAGCTTCTGTTATTCAACAGTTATTCAACTGTTATTCAACAGTTGGGAGATAGCGTAAGGGTATTGAGCCAAGCAAAAAGTTAGAATAAAGGCTATTTTGCAGCAGCAGGATGAAATGTTGATTATTTGATTTGGGGGCATATGTATATTCCATAGGGGGTATGTCATTGAAGAAGCATATTAAAAGTACCTTTTAAATTTCCTATTTGAATTGAATAAAATGAGTATCAGCAAAACTTTTGTTATGGCATGACTTCAAAATTAAAAAAAAAAAAGAAGCAAAAGAACTATTTGAATTTATCCATCCAGCCTTCCAGTGAATCAGTAAAATGTGAAATTGCTTACATTCTGCTCTTTTTATCATTCTTTTTTGGTTATTTAGGAAAAGAAGTCCATCAGTGTCCAGAGATCAGAATAGAAGATACGACCAAAGGGAAGAAAGAGAAGAATATTCACAGTATGCTACTTCGGACAGCGCAATGCCTAGATCTCCATCAGATTATGCTGATAGGAGGTCTCAACGTGAACCTCAGTTTTATGAAGAGTCTGATCATATAAATTATAGGGACTCCAACAGGAGAAGTAATAGACATTCCAAAGAATATATTGTAGATGATGAGGATGTGGAGAGCAGAGATGAATATGAAAGACAGAGGAGAGAGGAGGAATACCAGGCACGCTATCGAAGTGATCCGAACTTGGCCCGTTATCCAGTCAAGCCACAGCCCTATGAAGAACAAATGCGTATCCATGCTGAAGTGTCACGAGCCAGGCATGAGAGAAGGCACAGTGATGTTTCTTTGGCAAATGCTGAACTGGAAGACTCCAGGATTTCTATGCTAAGGATGGAACGACCATCAAGGCAAAGATCTATATCTGAACGTAGAGCTGCCATGGAAAATCAGCGATCTTATTCAATGGAAAGAACTCGAGAGGCTCAGGGACCAAGTTCTTATCCGCAAAGGACCACAAACCATAGTCCTCCTACCCCCCGGAGGAGTCCAATACCCATTGATAGACCAGACGTGAGACGTACTGACTCACTAAGGAAACAACACCACTTAGATCCTAGTTCTGCTGTAAGGAAAACGAAACGGGAGAAAATGGAAACAATGTTAAGGAATGATTCTCTCAGTTCTGACCAGTCAGAGTCTGTGAGACCTCCACCACCAAAGCCTCATAAATCAAAGAAAGGAGGTAAAATGCGCCAGGTTTCATTGAGCAGTTCAGAGGAGGAATTAGCTTCTACACCTGAATATACGAGTTGCGATGATGTTGAGATTGAAAGTGAGAGTGTAAGTGAAAAAGGTAAGCACTGTATTCTAATCATGCATTTGCCTGTAATTGATAAGAGTTTTTCTTTTAGGTTGTATTTCTGAGTAGACGTTTAATAGGTATTACAACCTTTGTTTTTAAGTTCTTTAATGGTGCTCATTATGTGAAGAAAATTTGAAGTTATAAAAAGTGAATATCTTTGGTAATTAATTTTCATACAAGAAAAGTCTATTGATTTTTTAAAATTAGTTTTTGTTTCTGAAAATGTTCTTGCATCACTTGATAGCAAATTTAAAAATGTCTGTTAGCTATAGTTGTAAAAATAACATCTTTTGTGTTTCCTTTTGAAAGGAATAGTATGTTTATTACAGAAAACATCTGAAAAATTGCTCAGTATAAAGAATTAAATACAAGCTATCCTTAGTCCTTTCTGCTAAATATAGCTATTGCTAACATTTTGTTGTATTCCCTTTTCTAGTTCATATATATTTTGCATATTTACAAAATTGGTATCATACTATATAATTTTGTATTCTGATTTTTTCAATTGATATCATATCATTAACTTTGTTCTAAGCCTTCAGATGTTCTTCAGAAATGTTTTAAATGACTGCATTAGTGTTCTATCATAAGGATGTACCACAAACTATTTATCTACTTGGGGTCATTGCAGTTGCTTCCAATTGCTAGTGTAAATGATATTATAATGGCTGTCTTTATACATAATTTTTTGCCTGTTTTCTGAGTATTTCACAAATACCTATTTGTGCTTTGAATCTTTTAAGCTTTTAATTCAGATTGCCAGCATGCTCTCCAGAAAGATTATAACAGTCTGTTCTCCTGTCAGACGTGCTTGAGTTTTCAGTCCTGATGCACCAAATTTTTGCTATTTGAATAGACCACAAAAAATACTATCTTTTTGTCATCTTACTTTGATTGTGAAGATGACTGTTTTGTGTGTTTATTGGTGTTTGCTGTATTGTTCTATGAATTGTCTGTTCTTTCCTTTTATTTCTTCTGCCCGAGATCCTATTGGGTGTTAATTGGTTTTGCTCTTATTGATTCATGAGATATTTTTAAATGGTTAGAGTTTTACTCATTTAGCTGTCATCTATTCCAAATATATTTCCCATTTTGATGTTGAGCTAGTAATTTTCTTTTATAATTTGGAAATACTGAGTTTAGTATAGCTCACTCTTTGCATATTTCATGATTTTTTTCAATCCTTTATCCCTAGAGATTCCTTACTCATCGCCGAATCAGTTGAACATTTAACTGTATACTCCTCGTGTTTTTACTATTTCATTTTTTTAAACCGACTTTTTAATCTTTCTGAACTTTATTTTAAAGAAAGTGAAGGAAAGTGTTAGTTAGTCATGTCCGACTCTTTGTGTTTCCATGGACTTGTAGCCCGCCAGGTTACTTTGTCCATGGAATTTTCCAGGCAAGACTACTGAAGTGGGTTGCCATTCCCTTCTGCAGGTTATCTTCCTGACCCAGGAATCGAACCCAGGTCTCCTGCTTTGCAGGCAGATTCTTTACCATCCGAGTCATTTAGATGGTAAAATAATTGCTTAAATTGCTTAACATAATTACTTAAAATAATTATTTAGAAATATAAATGAAATGTGGTTTCCAATCTGATCTAAAAACAGAAAATGTGATTTTAAAATAACTAATAAGAAATGTGGGAGGCCTACATGAAGAAAGCTATTCAACTTCACTGAGCACCATAAAGGAAGATATGAGTAGAGATTCATTTTATATTCCTTACTGGGAAGTCTAAATACTATAAAGATGCATGTTCTTTCCAAACAGTTGTTGGGGGTAGTAACATTCTAGTCATAACCCAGTGGGTTGCTTGGAGTATCCTATTTCTAAAGTTAATCTGAAAGTTGTAGAGGAGAAAAAAACAGCTGTTTATGTTTCCTTCTGTGTGTCTTAGTTTCTTGTGTAAATTAGGCTGATAAAAAATTAATAAGAGAAAAGCAAGTTTATTAATCATCATGTGCATTTTGCATACATATGCACACTCAGCTATAAGAAACTCAAAGAAGCGTTTAGAATTTAGGTTCATATAGCATCTTAACAAAGAATAATACAGTTTTTAGAGAGATGACAGAAAGGCAAGAGACTTCTTGAGTTTCTAGAGCTGCCAATTGTGGGAAGGTAAATTTGGAGGTGGAATCCAGTGGAAGATAAGGGCCAGCTAGTAAACTTTGTTATGCATATTCTTCTGGAGCCATCTCTGGGCTGATACAGAATAATTAAATATTGTCCTTTCTGGTATAGAGGGCATAGGGGAACAGCTTTACAAATTTATGTCCTGCTTTTAGGCAAATGTGGGGAGGACAGGGAGCTTTCCTTTTATCTGCTTCTTCTCAATTACCTTCAGCTCAAAATAATCATTATGCCAGGATTGGCATATTAAAACAAACGAGAGGTGCAGAAAGCATTACAAACTGAAGGGGAAGATATAAGTTATCTCTTGGGGAAAGTGAATATACAGTGAAAAAAATCAAGTTAGAGCCTTATTTCATAGAAGTTGCATTTAAGTGATGATAGGAAAATTGTTTATTAAAATATGAAAGTCTATAAAGAAAAGTTGTAGATCTTAATTTTATCATAGATCATATAGAAAATTTATTTCCCAGAAAATATATTACTTCCTTAGGTATATTTAATTACCATTAGTTTGGTCACATTCCATATTCGCCTGAATGTATCACAATACCTAAGAAAAATATTGTTATCTATAGTAATTTGGTTTAGATTCTGTTATTTACTTATGTTTTTTGCTAACTCAGTGCCTGTACTTTAACCACATAAAGATGGAAAAAGCAAAACAAATGCACCAGTCCAGTTCTTGAAAGCTTTTTATATGTAATATTCTTCTAAGGGCTTATGCTTTGTTTCAGGATTTTGAAGTATACACTTACAAATATCTCACATAAATAAAAAGTTATGTAGTAGTTAAATTAAAATCCTATGTAATACTGCTTAAGCATGAGAAGAAACTATACTAATTCATATCACTATTCTCTCCTAACTTGAACTAGTAGAACATTTTTAGATAGTCCTTCTCATCTACCTAATAATTTGTTTCAGAGTATGATTTCTGCCAACATGTTCTTCCAGTGGGCAGTCATAATTTAATTCAGCTTTGGAGGAATAAATCTAAATAAAATAACCCTTTTCCATTTGATATTACCTCCAATATGAAGAGAAGTTGTAGCTGTTGAGAAACTGGAATAATATAGGAAAGATTAAATTGTGTTGTATCTTGACGTTTCATCCTTAGCTTTTTTTATTATTTTTGTAAAAAGTGCCAATGAGGCTAGTAGCAGTCCCATACCCAAATGTGACAAACCAAAGTATCTCCAGACATTGTCAATTATTCCTTGTGGGATATTTGTGGGATACCCTCCATCCCTAGGCCTTCCTGTTATTCTCCTCCCCTTCTTACTTTCAGAATCCATTGAGAGTGTCATGACTGGTATTAAAAAAAAAGGGGGAGGCCAGAATAGGACAGAGTAGAACATATCAAATGAATTGCACAGAGTAAAGGTAATTGATCTGTAAAATATTATTTTAGTTTGCACGTGTTCTTTAGACTCACAGTGTAAAATATCTATTTTTACTGTGGATCATGGCCAAGAATGTTTTAAAGCTGCTTCTTTTATTAGGATTTTGTGACTCACTTGATCATAGTATTTCCTGCCTCTCCCATCTCCTCTACCAGACCTACCTGGGAAAAGGTCTAAGAATAGTGTTCAGTGGCTAATCAATGTATTGTAGATGTAGTACATCTTTCTTATTTGATATATTTTAATCTTAATATTATAATGTAACATTAAAACATCTAATAGTAAAAGATGTGTATCAGTTTTCATAATCAGTAAGCAGACAAAAAATATAATTACAATTGCAAGCCATAATGGAAACATGATTAGCCTAACAAAACAAAAGAGTTACATACAATTTGAGGGGTCAAGCAGAGTGCTGTTGTAAGTGGAGGTGCATAGATGCACACATTTTCATTTCCTCAGCCAGTCTATGTCTTTTGATTGGTGCATCTAGTCTATTTGCATTTAAGGTAATTATCAATATGTGTGATCCTATTACTGTTTTCTTAATTGTTTTGGATTTATTTTCTGTAGGTAGAGCTTTTCCTTCTCTTCTTTTCTGCCTAGAGAAGTTCCTTTAGCATTTATTGTAAAGCCGGTTTGGTGGTGCTGATTTCTTTTAACTTTTGCTTGTCTGGAAAGCTTTTGATTTCACCATCAAATCTGAAGGAGAGTCTTCCTGGGTCCAGTATTCTTGGTTATAGGTTTTTCTCTTTCATCACTTTAAATATGTCATGCTGTTCCCTTCTGGCTTATAGATTTTCTGTTGAGAAATCAGCTGATAGCCTGATGAGAGTTCCCTTGTATGTTATTTGTCATTTTTCCCTTGTTGCTTTTAATATTTTATCTGTGTCTTTAATTTTTATCAGTTTGATTACTATGTGTCTTGGTATATTCCTCCTTGGGCTTATCCTGCCTGGGACTCTGTGCTTCCTGGACTTGGTTGATTATTTCCTTTCCCATTTTACTGAAGTTTTCAGCTATCTCTTCAAGTGTTTTCTCAGGTCCTTTCTCTCTTCTCCCTTCTGGGACCCCTATAATGCAAATATTCATGCGTTTATTGCTGTCCCAGAGGCCTCTTAGGCTGTCTTCATTTCTTTTCATTCTTTTTTCTATATTCTGTTCTGAGGCAGTGATTTTCACCATTCTGTCTCCCGGGGCATTTATCTGTGCTTCTCCCTTGCTTATTCTCCTATGGATTCCTTCTAGTGTAGCATTCATCTCTGTTTCTTCTTTAGTTCTTGTAGATCTTTGGAAAACATTTCTTGTATCTTCTCAATCTTTGCCTCCATTGTTTTTCTGAGATCCTGAATCATGTTCACTATCATTATTCTGAATTCTTTTTCTGGAAGGTTGACTCGGTTCAGTTTAGTCACTCAGTTGTGTCTGACTCTTTGCCACACCAAG